CATGAAAGCTCATCGAAGGAATTCATTTGTTTAGTCAATTACCAAAATTTGGATGATTTTGAATATTCACTTGAAAAGTTATCAAAGAAAAACATTTTTCATTTTGTAACTTCGAGGGCCCGTAACTTGGTTACGAAGACTTTTAGGAAAAAAAGTTATATGAAGTACTGGTGATATTTTGACCCCATCTATACATTCCCGAGAGGAAAAGAGAAGTCCAGGGACACCCTGTATAGTGCACGTGCTTCAATTATTTTAAAAATGAAAATTCTAGCTGCTTATTCTAGTATTAAATATATCACGAAACTACTTATCAAATTCACTATTTCTATAGAAAAGTCACTCTCAATTGACTGTATGAGCATGAAAGAGAGGGCCAATTATGATTTGTTCAAAAAATATTTGTTTGGAATTTTGTTTCAAATTTCGTTTCTGTTAACTTCTTAGCTCTCGCCCTCTTAGTACAGCAACGCTCAAAAGTCGAAACTCCTGTGAACTATTGATCAACGGGGTCTTTAATTTCTGCGTGCGATTCCTGGCACGTGGCATATGTTCACAAAATGAAAGAACTTTTCTCAAATATATATAAAAATTAAAACTTGTTACCAAAAGTAAAACTTCTGAGAATTGTCAGCAGTGCTGAAAATTACATATCAGATGGTGAAACCTTGTTAATCCTCAGGTTGAACAAGTTGCTTGTGAGGTAGCGACAGCAAGTTCAACAAACAAAATTGATGAAAAAAAGTGTTAAAATTAGTACTATTTAGTCTCCTAAGTGAATAGAGCTGTTCTTTATTTACTAACTATTTAAAACTATCTTATTATGATATTGATATGTAGTGTGATCATATCCTTTTTTTCTCATATTATTAAATAGCAAATTGTACAGTACCTCCACCCTGTCACCTTAAAAATTCATAAATGAACATCCTAAATATGTACCATTGATATTGCCGTTATTTCACATGGAAAATATGTCGAAATAATAATGATATTCGTGAAAGTAATCGTTTCTCAAAGTTCATTTATATTATTTCAAACAATTGTCATTTTTTACATTGAAAAGCGATCATGATTTTTTCAGGTATGGTCGAGGAAAATTGATAATATTAAGCGTATCAATGAGTTCGATAATCAGTATAGTTAGATCATTCTCAACGAATTACACAATGTATGCCTTCTTGGAGTTTTTCGATACAGTTTTTTGTGCGGCCATGTTTGGAGCTTCTTTAGTTTTGGGTAATTATATTTATTGAAGATAATATGATTGTAGTGATTTTTGTCAGTATCGTTATAGCTTCTGGAGAAACAAGGAAGACATGATGATGAGTGATATTGAAAGTCTCTACCCATTCAATTTCAAATGAGAATGGAAAAGATACTTTGCAGGTAGTAGGAATTGTTCAATTGAAAAATATCAGTAACAGCTCTTTATATGAGTTCCTACTGAGAAGACATTAACGATTCTGTTATATTTCTTTTTGAACAATGAAGTTAATCACTCCTCTCATTCATCCATCATAACTCTCTATTTTTTATTGATTTTGAAAAAGCCGTCAATAGAGTCGATGGAACTGAAACCAAAACAAATAAAATAAATTCAGATGTATTGCGAGTTGGATATTATCGTAGTACGAAGTGAAATATTGTGATACCTCATTTATAGGTTCTAAGTTATAATCGAATCAAAATACGACAAATATCAGTATCAACGTTTTTCTGCTCATTTCTACCCCTGAGTTGTGGATAATTTTTGTGACTCGAGTAGTTTTTGTAGGTTGAGAACTATCTAAATTATCAATTTTTGAAAACATCGAAGCGTCATGCATTGTGCATACATTGCTTGCTTCCTGTGATCCAATGCCTGATAGTGACTCAAACATGAGTAGTTATCTCTGTCCTATTCAGCGCAGTAGTACTTTCAATGAAGGGATTTCATTACATTTTCATTAAGTTTCTTAGATGATATCGCTATTTTGAGTAATGAGGCGCTTATTCAGCCCTAAGTAAAGTCTATCCAAATCCAAGATAGAGTAAAAGGAAACAGAACCGAAGCGTGATGTTCACGTGATCGCCCAGTGTCAGATGGAAAGGGCAGCGTTCATTGGTGAATTCGCCTTCTTGGTACGAGTTCGGTACCAGCACAGGGTTGTAATCAGTCCTTTGCGTGTTTGTGTGGCGTGGGTTATAGTATATTGTTCAAAATTGTTTTCCAAGATGTCCAGTACAAACACTGCTGATGACACTGTGAGCTATCCTCTGAGTCCAGGAAACGATCCAAAAAAATACATTTGAGTGTTGAGATGAAAGAAGTGATTTCAACTGTGTTCAAGAAAGAGATGGAAGAAATTGAGACATCGACTGTCGACGAAGTCGTGTCGAAAGTTTCCGATAAAATTGGAGTGTGTTGCGCTTCGATTTACAATGTTTTACTGGAATATAAACAAAATCATACATTTTCCAAACCGAATACAAATCAGAATCGTCAAACCATCATAAAATCAATAGATGATGCTCATAAACATGCAATCAGGAGGAAAGTGCATGAGTACTTTTTCAGAAATGAAATACCCACGATAGACAAAGTACTCACAGAAATAAATGAAAATGTTTTATTGCCAAGTTTTAAGCAGTCAACATCCCATAAAGTATTGAAACATTTGAATTTTGTATGGAAAAAACGAGGGCGTAATAGTTTATTATTGGAGAGACAGGAAATTATGTTATGGAGCAGAGTATTTGAACAAAATTAAATATTATAGGGAACAACAGAGAACAATTCATTATATAGATGAAACCTGGGTTAATGCTGGTCATACTACCCCTAAAGTATGGGTCGATGAAACTGTGTCCTCATCTAGGAGGGCCTTTCTAAATGGACTATCCACCGGATTAACAAATCCATCAGGTAAACTTATATTTATATTAAGACCTGCCTCAATCTCAATATATAAAAAGTGAACCTTGTATTTGTTTTATTTACTTACATACCTCTTCATAATTTCAGGTAAAGGGAAACGGCTCATTATTTGTCACATCGGCAATGAGAATGGGTTCGTTGCTGAAGAGCTGTGGTGTTTCGAGTCGAAGAAAACTCGAGATTATCACGAAGAAGTGAACGGTGAATCTTTCGAACAGTGGTTTTCCAAAGTTCTACCCCATCTGGAGGATAATGCTGTGATTGTAATGAACAATGCATCTTATCATTCGCGACGGTTAAAGAATATTCCGACAACGTCTTCAAAGAAGGTTAAAATCCAAAATTGGCGGCGATCAAAGAATATTAGCTTTGAAGACTCAATGCTTAGAGTACAGCTACTAAAAATTGTCAAGGAGCGCAAGCTTGAATACCAAAAATATATAGTCGATGAGATGGCAGCAGGCCAAAACAAAATTGTCCTTCATCTGCCTACATGCCACTGCGATCTCAATCCCATCGATTTGATATGGGCGGATGTGAATAAATTTGTAGCTCAGTTATGCTGAGCTACCATGTTCAAATTTGCAGTTTTCGAAATACTTTTTGATGACCCTTTGAAAAGAGTCACTGCGAAGAAATGGGAGATTGTGTTCGGCATGTGATATCGAAAGTCGAGACAAAGATGTGGAAGCTTGATAACATAATAGAGGCACAAATCGAGCCACTGATAATTCAGATTGGTGAGGATGACACTACTAATGAAGAGACAAATTCATCCAGTTAAATGATTTTGATTATTATTCCTTTTGATTTTAAATAAAATAAAAATTATCAATGAAGAAATAATTACGTCTCTTTTCATATAATGCTTGAGTGCGCTGTGAAAAATCCAAAAGAAATCTTTTTATATTACACATATTATCTGCATTTTTTCCGTTAAACTGCAAAACTTGTACATTTCACTCGTTATTATAAAAAAGTTTTCCTAAGTATGATATAGCATTTGCGATCAACAAGATGTTGGTTCTGAATACGATCCTGGCCAATTCTTGGGATTTTCAATATCACGTGCGTAGGGCATGTAAATGTTCACATTCACTCTACCTTGGATTTGAATTTCCTTTATATTAAAATTATTAGGTCCAGTGGAGTCTCAGTGACTTTTTCGTAGCTTGCGATTTCTTTATTTCTAGCTTCGTTTTCGAGAAATAAAATTGAAGCCACTTTGCTTATCATAAACACCTGCTTTGGAGACCAGCTGACAGTGATAGTGTTGTCATATCAGTGAAAGTCAGAGTTATGAATTAGCAGTGATCCCATCATGAGTAATTTCACTAACGCTGAAATGACTGATATGCACTTCATTTATGGATTAGCAATTGGAAATACGAAAGAAGCACGGATAATCTACCGGAACAGATATCTCTACAGAGTAATTCTATTTGCTGAAACATTTGAAATGCTTCATGCAAGATTATGTGAAACTGGGAGTTTGGATAAAAAGCAGGTGGTGGAAGATCAGAAATTGTAACAACGCATGAACCGAAGAAGCTTTGATTGATGAAATAGAAGAAGCTCCTTCAAATAGTAACAGGAAGAATGCAATGCAGCTGGAAGTCAACACAAAAACCATATGGATTGTTCTATACCCATATAGGTAACATACAATGGGTACAAGCTCTGCTGCCTTGGGATTTTCACCCAAGATTAATGTTTTGCGGGTGGTTGATTCATACGATGGCACAAAATATTATTTTCCACCGAATATTTCATTTGCGGAGGAATCGAAAGTTTTCACGGGATGCTATTATGATCTTTCACAATGACCATTTTTGGGCAATCGAAAATACCCTCATTATCAAAGAAAGTCATCTTCAGCAACAATTTTTGCCGAACATTTGGGTAGAAATGATTGGTGACTGCCTATTATTTGGCCCATTTTCTCTACTAGCAAAATCAACAGGTAAATTCTACACGTCCTTTTGCGCGATCATTCACCTACTTTGATAGAAGAAGTGCCGGCAGTACTCGTAAGCGGCAACATGTTGTTGATGCACGACAGAGTTCCAGTTCATTCAAGTGTTATTGTTCGTCAGCATCTCGACTTCACCTATCCTAATCGCTGGACTGGACGTGCAGGACCTCAAAATTGGCCAGCTCGCAGACCTGATAGGAATACTCTAGATTTCTATTTATGGAGTAACTTATAGGCTCTTGTTTATAAAACTCCTATACTAGATCTGAATGACTTACTAACTGTTACATTATTATGTTCTCATAATCAACATTTTCACAGTGTAGTGAAAAATACTTCAATTTTGCATGACATAACGACAAAGTTTTCATTTTCAGTAATGGAGCTTGTATCGCCCAAACAGAGAGATATCGCCAACTTACTGATTTGCTTTTTCTACACTATTGGCCAATGGATAGTAGGAGTAACGGCCTGGCTATCTCCTTCTTGGAGAATGATGATACGAGTCCTCCATATCCCAGGTCTTATGATTTTATCACTTTTCTTCGCAATACCCGAAACAAGGACTTTGGTATTTTTAACTTATAAAAGAAATCGTGCCAAAGAAATTGTTTCAGAGGAAGAGGGGTTGAACGAAATGAAGGATACAGGAACGATAACAAAGGATCAAGTTGAAGAGGTGGAACTGCAGGGATTTTGGGACGTGATGAAAGAAAAGGTTTTATTACTGAGGGCAATTCGATGTTCACTGCTTTGGATCGGTAGCAATTTTTTGTATTACGGACTGACACTATACTCAGTGACAATATCTGAAGATATTTATGTCAATTTCGTTTTATCAGTGGCCATTGACATACCTGCAATATTAACTTATTATTATGGCTCTCAGAAATTCAGAAGGAGATGGACTATGCTGGTAGCATTCATGACTACTGGAGTTTGTTGTTTATGCGTTGGATTTATTGAAGAAGGTGAGTATACATATGAAATAAATGATATATTCAGATAATTTATTCAGATGAAGAGAACAAAAATATAAGGAATTTTGTTTTCCGTTCCTTTCCTTACATATGTGAGAAAATTCAGGGAATTTCTCTAACTTTTGATAAATTGATGGATGTAACCGTTACTACGTGGCAGGAAATGATAATGAAGAAAATAGAAATGAAACTTTCTATGTTTTTACCACTTTTATTTGTAACTAACGTTACTGCAGTTCCTTATTTTCTTCTCTAACTTTTCTAGTTATTTGTGCTTATGAAACCAAACATTTTGATGGAAAAGAAAATGTTTCATAGTGAATTTTACTATGTCAGTCTTCCATTGTATGCTATGATTCTAATTTTACTAGAAATCAAGTTGTTTCACGACATTTAGATTGTAAGTATCCACAATCATCTTCAACTGATGACTGAACTATTCCTTCGAGTGACATATTCATAGGTCATTCGAGTGCTTTCACCTGTACCTTTTCCCTCTCTCTGTGTCACCGGTTTTGCGGGAGTTGGCCGTTTTCCCGCTTGATTACAGGTTTTCACATGTTGCTATTTCCACTTGTTGGATGAATGCGTCGTTGGACAACATAATTGCAGCTTCTTTGAACTTCCTCTCAAATCAGTGTTCCTCCCTGTGGATGATCTCAGCTTGAGACCACTTGGTGTTATGTTGATGAGTCCAATAATCATTTGTTATTCCCGATTTGCCGTACTCACAGATCAAGTAAATACAATTATTTGAGGCGCAGTCCGAGTTTTATGGCCTGGTTTTCGTGAGGCTTCTACAAATGGTGTTTTCAGATCTGAAGCAGGTTCTGATATTGTACTTTGAGGAAGTTATCTGATTCAGGTTTGCATTGTTTCATTGATCCATAACAGATGAAGATGATTATACAAAATGATCAAAATAAAATCGATCTTTTTCATTATCGTGTTTTCTGTGTACACAAACTCAAAATTGAAATGATATGATATATTTTTCTCTTGAGAATAATATAAAGAAATGTCCTTGATTAACTGGCGAATTTGAAATTGGAATAAAGAACGAACACTACAAATTTCTTTCACTAGAGAGTGACAGATGGAACGGGTGATGTTCTTATTCGTGTGTTATGGAAAGTAATTTCAAGTATTATTTGTTTTGTTTCAGAATTGTACTGGACGAGACTACTAATATTTTTACTTGGAAAATGTGGTGCAGCGGTTGTGTTCACCTTGATATTTGTTTTCACAACGGAACTATTTCCCACTTCTTCAAGGCACTCCATTTTATCATTATGCTCGATGATTGGAAAAATAGGATCATTACTGGCTCCACAGCTCCCACTCTTGGTGAGTTTCAATCAAGTATCTATAGAACGTGACAGACATGATGTAAATGGGAAAATATTATTACCAAAATGTTTCGAAAGTGATTGGTACGCCATCTCATCAACTGAAACTGAGAACACCAAACCTCGAATCTTCTGAACTATTCTAACTGTATGGCAGATCGTTCACTCAGGTTTTCACTTCACAATGTTATTTCTAACTACTAATCTTATTCATTCCTTTTCAACTCTCAATGCAAATTTCAGGTAGTCAAATTTTTACTTCATACAGATCATACAATGAAATCCTGGTTGCCGTTTTTTCTTTTGGGGTGTTTTCCTTATGTTATCAGAATGCATGTGATTGAATGGCTATAGACCATCTTCCAGAAGTATATAACCTCATTTATTAACCTCCTTTATTTTCTACCTGACCGAAAAGCAGGAAATGGCGTCATGGAACAATGTTTTCAATACCAAAAGGAATTGTTTTTTTCAAGCTTCTCTCTTAGATTTTTTGATACGAAAAGTTGTCCTTCTATATAGGTGGAATTTTCTTCCATATTTACTACGTTCTCCTACATTTTCTCCTACTATGAAATTTTGAGACAATTCCACTCAGAGACTCCTCCAGAACCTATTTCTTCAGAACCTCATTCATGGTATGTAACGTTAGGTATCACTTGTCTCATCATCCATGGGTTTGACATTTCTTATCAACTCTCAATGTTTTTCAAGGTTGTGAATACAAATTCGACTTTACATATACAGGTCGAAACAAAATAATATACCTATTATGTTTTTCGTGTTACTCATATGATTGGTACGCGATCTCATCAACTAAAAATGAAAACACCAAACCTAGAGTCTTTTGAACTATTACAACTGTTTGACAGATGGTTAAGTCACGTTTTCACTTCAACACGTTACTTCTCACTACTAATGTTCCCTTGCATTTCTTTTAAAATCAAATATTTAAAATCTTAGGAACCCGGAAACAGAAAATCAAATTCCTCAAATATTCTGTTAGATAGCAGACTTATGTTCTTGTGATGCACTCTTTGGAACCTTTGGTGTAGTAATGGAGTTGTTTTCTAACACCAAACCGTTATGTCAACACGTGTTTCGATCACCAAGTGATCATCTTGAATGATGAGGGTTTGATCTTTCTCTTGAAGATGATCACTTGGTGATAAAAACACGTGTCGAAGTGTTAAAATATTTTTATATGCTTCGAAAGACATTTTTTGTGGATCAGTCTTACTGTTTTTTTGGTATATGATATCCTCTACTGATTCAACTTTGTTTATTTCTTCAGTTTATGGAACACTCGATTCCCAAAAAAACATTTGGATTATGAAGTCATTCATAACTTTGTTATGAACCAGTTGAGTGAATGCTTCACTTGATGCATGACGTGAAATATTAATCCAGTTTTCGCTTTACGCTTCATTTCTTTCAGGCAAGAATGAACCATGCAGCTCCCTTGATGATTTTTGGAATTATCGCTGTGACAGCAGGAATATTGTCTTTGTTCTTTCCGGAAACAGTCGATACGAAACTACCAGAAACAATCGAAGAAGCTGTCAATATGGGAAACATATCTGTTGACAATAACAAAATAAAAATATGAATAAAAACATTGGTCTTTGAATTATACTGAAGTAAAATAATTGTTTTGAAAGCGGGTGGTTTACTAGGGGAAGAATTCGTGAAAAACAAAAAACCACAAGTATTTTGAGGAAGAAGAAAATCAATTGGTTCTCAGAGCAACTTTCCAAGAAGTTCCAGAGCAATGACTGGGGTCATGTTCTGAATAGCTTCTGAAGGGAATTTGAGAGTATTCATGAATTTCTTTGAATACTTGTCTCCTTGAATCCAACAAGGATACAAAAATGACACAGCCCCATCACATCAGTTTTTTATTGGGGACGTGGAGAGCTGCAGAAAGAGAAATAGATGAGATTTGGTTAACGGTGGAGACTAAGATTGAAGAAGAAGTAGAGAAAATCAAAAATAGATTGTAAAACGTCGAGATTCTAAAAGTGATCGGGTTTTCACGAACCTAACGAAGGGTTAGTGGAAAATGTGCCGTCACTGTTTGTGACGGCACATTTGTTTGTGAATACTGAACATATTTTGGAAAATTGATAAGATATGTGTATAGAATCACAACCTCTGAAAAAAAAACTGTTTAAAATCTGTTTTCCGTTAATCAGCTGTCGACCCATACGAACGACAACTCTCAGAAGTTTAGAAACTTGTGCGAGCTGAGGACTAATGAGGTCTTACCTCTTAACGTGTGATTCCTAACACCTCGACAACAGTTATTTTTTAATGCATTGATATTTCTGAAAATCTTGTGCGTACTGTTGTGAAATTGTACTATTGAACATTTTCATGCTCAGTTTTCATTTCAATATGAAAGAGTAAGTTCGGGTTGAAGAGTTTGCTAGATGTTTGGACTTTATTAACGAAACGTGAGTCATTGACTTAAATTACTACTCTTAGGGAATTATGAGAATGATTTATAAAAATAATAATGATAACCAATAAAAAACTGTCATTACAATAATAGCGAGAACATTGTCTGATATTGAGTCTTCTTGCTACTACCAACTTTCGTTTTTATCATATTGCCCTCTTTTTGTGATGGGTTTCATCCTACTGTTATTCTTTTTTTTTGGTTTCAAAAATTATCGACCCTGGTCCAGTACTCATTCCTTTTGAAAAAATTTTTCAGGTGATTAAGTGCCTCATGAATACTCTCAAATTCACAGATACTTTGTGCTCTCTCAGACAATATTTCAATTACCCCTCTCTTCTGTTGTGGCTGATGGAGTTTTTGATCAGGCATCTGTATGTGTGTGTTGGTTCTCGGTACACTCTGTAGCCCAATATACCATTTTCATGCTTGTTGATTAGAACATCACAGAAGGTTATAGTCCCTTGGGTTTCTCGTTCCAATGTGAATTGGATTGACTAAACTGAATAATCAAACTCAACTTTATTCCACTTCAAATACAACAAACACTGCAACTAAAACTATTATTTGAACGTCTATCGCCTTACTAGATCACTTCGCGTACCGCACTGTAGCTTCCACTTGACTGTGTCGATATGCTCGCAGCTAGCCTTTAAATATCGTAATCGAATGTTGTAGAAATTTCGCCAAAGTTCCGCCGAAATCGGCAGCATTATTCTCGCTGTTTCTAGGGTGGCGGGGAATCATCGTACACTCGCGCGCTCTTAGCCACGTCACGCCTCGTTTATGACTATCAGCGGCGGCCGGCGTTATTTTCTTTCAGGCAACAGTATGAATTTGTTAATTCTACAAAAATCGTCCCGAAATTCCAATGTTGTGGTTATTTTTGACTGCAATAATAATCTATTATTCGAAACATGATGGCAGGCCAATCAATTCCCAGAATTATGTGGGAAATGAAGGATAGGCCGACAAGGTTTTTTGTTGAAATTCTCTCCTCAGAAAATGAGATCAACTCTAGTGTTTTTTTTTTCTACAATCTATCTTTGTGATGAGCTTTTGACATGGAATTGGATGAATATTTGAGAATACATACGCTTCAAGCAAGTACTTGGAGTAAAATCAAGTCTGTTGAAGTATAAACATATAAACTTATTGATTATTCAAAGATTCGGAGTAGGTATATTTTTCCATTAGCTAGGTTCGGATATTACAGGAAGCTGTACCTATTCACAATTTTGATACGTAATTATCACATTGACTCAGTCAACAATACTTTTATGATTCATGAATCATTGGGGAGAGTGGTTTTTCAATACATGTAGAAGAATATTACTGTAGGTAGAAATAACAACAGGTTCGTTAATGTTTGTAACTACGTCTATTTAAAACCAATATTTTCCTTAGGAGTGACGTTCAAATTACAATACGTAGATGTCGCCCTCTTCTCGGAGTTCATGAATTGTATCATTGTTATTTACAAAATAACCATTTGTATTTTCTCGTTTACCTACAAGTTCATCTTACACATAAAGTAGGATTTATTTTGAAGTGTTCTTGTTCAAAATGAATGACGATAGTCATATCTCATATTCAATGACCTAACTTCACACTTCTAGAAATCAATAATGATAGTATAGTTACCTGCTATTTTCTTCTATTGAACTTACTGATGAGGAAAATAGATGGCGTAAGAGGGTAATGCCAATCACTACTCGAAATGAAATTATTGAAATTGAATGGCATTATAATAAAAAATTTTAATGTTCTAGACCGATTGAAAGTTTGTTCAGAAAACTAAAAAGTCTATTGTCATTTACTGTTGAAAATAACTCTACAAATATGGGTTCTAAAATATCCAATAATGTTTTTTTTTTTTTATAAAAATACGGTAACAGTCCATAATATGTTTCTACAAATATTCTGATCTCTCCTTAAATTTCGCTGAAAGCGATTCCCTCCACTTGTTCTCATGGTCTCAATATCTGAACATTTTGGGAAAAAACATTCCGATACAACTACTTTCATATAAAAATTGAACCATACGAAAGAAAAACAATCGAAAGAACTACTTTCATATGAACATTGAATCATACAAAAAATATTTTTTTCTATTCACTTTGTACTTTTATCTCATTCCAGTCAAAAAACCAAGCTTTTATACTTCTTCTGGGTACCTTGTAACTGGAGAGTAGGTATTCCTGAAAAGCCCAAAGCATTGATATATAAAAATGTTTCAAGGAACAATTCTTGATTTTCGATGAATGATTTCAACATATATCAATCTTTCACATTCCAAAATGTTGGTTTCAAATTATGGCTTCCACAGTATTTCAAAATAGGACCCCTGTTCAAGGATTATATCAAATTAAAGATTTTGGGAATCACTGATACATACATTTTCATCAAATAGATTTGAAGAACTTGGAATTAATTTCTTCAAACCTTTTTCTGTTTTAACAATCAAGGACAAATTTTTCGTTGAAAAATGAACTCGACAAATATACTTCATCCTTGAACTTCTTTTCAAACTCGCTCCGTCAGTAGGGACATATTTCGATGAACAATGGCTAATTTGCTAACGGAAGGAAGTATCTCTCAACTCTTAACGATGTTGTTTAGGAATCTCAGATGCGGATTACGTTTGTTTAATGGCCTGTGAAATAATTAACACCTTTTAAAGAAACTGTCACCCTCATGAAAACTCTCCCTTTCGCTGGAAATCCAAGTATCGGGAAAATAAGGTTCAGAAGAGAGGTCTGGCTCCATGGAATGGGGATTGAATCGGAACTGGATTTGGAAATTGAAGTGAAGTAGTGTATAGGTTGACAACATCTGTCCCTGTTCTGATATTAACTCAAAGAAGGAATACTTTCCTCTCTGAATAAGGGAGACGGAATGAAGATTGGCTGACACTGTCATCGAGTGACAGATAAGATTGATATTGGAAATCACTTTACTTACTTATTCTATTTCTTGGAGAGTTATGTTGCAATCATTCAGGTTTCGACAAATATGAAACTGAAATTCAAGGTAATTGAATAGAACCCGCCGATATTTGATAAAAATCCATAATAAAACTAATTAACAGAGTTTATTGTATGATTTTCACTATAAATATGTCCAGTAGTAACTAAGACATTCTCCAATAAATAGGTATTTAGTTGAAGGGGATTGAAACAACATTGTTTTTTTAAAGGCGGTATAAATAGATATTCTTCTGAATTATACTGTCAACAGACACATCGCACCCATCAATAAAACCGACTTGGCTTTTCAGCGGGGTTATTCGTGATATTCATCAGTTTACTTCGAGAGCGCGTTGAATAAACAGCTATACAACATGGAAGCTAACTGTTCGGGATGAAAAAACAATTGTTATGAATGTATATAATTCTTTAAGAATACAATATCCGCTCGAAACAGAAAGTAATGAGGAAGTAGTGCAAAAATACGCGAGTATGACCGGTGTCAATAGACCGACAATTTTTGGAATTCTCAAGGAACTCGAGGAAAACAACTTTTTCGAGCCGAAAGTATCCACTGGTAGAAAGTGTTTGGTTATCGATGAAGAAGTCAAGAATTCTATCAGGAGAACAGAACACTATTTTTATATATAAAACGAAATACCTAAATTGAATAAAGTTCTGTCAGTTATTCGTGAAGACAGTTTTTTTCATGATATAAGAAGAACTTGATTATGGAAGATATTACATGGGCTGAATTTCACTTTTGGAAAGCAAGATAGAAAGAGCATGTTAATAGAAAAATCAGAGATTGTAGAATGGAGAAGAAACTAGTTGAGAGAAATAAAGAAAGCCAGAGCACTAGGTAAATCTAGTTTTTATTTGGATGGAACATCGGTCAATGAGGGTGATACCGTCTCGAAGGTTTGGCAAGATCAGAACATCAAAAGTGGAAGACAAGCCTTTATGGAAGGTTGGTCCACTGGTTTGAAAATTCCAGTTGGAAAAGGTCGTCGGTTTATCATCACTCACATAGGCAACAGTGAAGGATTCGTGAAAGATGAAGCTGCCGACGTCGTGTTGGAAGGAAGCAGATATTACTCAGTGGTTACGAATGAAAGCTATTCCTGTTGAAAGGGGAGCTCCTCAATTTGGCTAAACGTCATAGGTCAAAATTCTTCAGGTATGTCA